TATTATGAAGTTCACCGTAGTTGTTTAAAAACCATTCACAAAATACAGCCCGTCGCGGAAAATCAACTTCATGAAGTTCTTGCTGACAAGTTAAACGATAGGAGAACAAACGCAAATCTTTTTTTAACACTGTGTGGCAGGTACCGACTGATACTCCCACCATTTGTGATAAAACACGTACAGAAGTTCTTGGCGCATTTTCCATTATTTGTTGGACATTTTCTTTTAATTCTTCAGTCCGCTTTTTAGGTCGGCCGCTTCCTTCTTTTCTTGTTACACTGCCCGTTTCACGAAAAACATTAACACAACGCTGAACTGCACTTTGAAAAATTTTGTACTCAACAACGCCGGGAAATTGATTTTGAAATTCTATGAAACATTCCTCAATAGAATACTTCCATATTCCATCAATCTTGCGTCCATTTCTAAAGTAGGACTCTATGATAAACACTTTTTGTTCTTGAGAAAACACCATTTTAAACGCTTTTTAAAACGAAAATATTCAAATTGATAGCGGTGATATAGCGCTTTGACAGATGACGTTTAAGTTCATTTGCTATACGCTACGCCCTACGTCCAAATTTTCAGAACCAACTTGACCACGTTTTTATTTGAACGTTCGTTCATTTGCAGTAGTTGGAAGTTTGAGAAACAAAATTTGGTTTAAGACTAATTTTGTTTATTTGCAGTGAAAACATGGTAATTTTTCATTGCAAACGTTTTTTATGAATAGATTCTTCGTAGGAGAAATCGAAAATTTTTTTATTTATTTCGTCGATTACAGCGCCATCTGTCATGAAACGAAAAAAATGCTTCAGACAAATCCTACGTACTATATATTTAGGATATCAAAGATTCTCTCTGTGGAACAATTCAATTTTTATTATAAATAATTTTTTCGTTGTGCCTATTTCTCGAGATATTTGAAAGCTTCAGGTTAAAAAGTCACCGGGTGTGTATATCGAAATCTTCAAAACTAATAATATTTTAAAAACATATGTGTACTCAAAGTTGAAGCATTATATGAAATTCGCAAAAATAGGTGATTTTACCAAAAACCTGCTATACAGGGTGATTCAAAAAACCGCTGACAGACTTCTAGGGTAGGTAATACATGAAAAATTAAGACGAAAAGTCGAGATACAGGGCGTCAAAGTTTCTGTAAAATTAAACATTGCAATAATTCCAAAATGCCTGAACATTTTTATTTCAAATTTGCTATGCGTAGTAAGCACCTTATAGACCAGGCAAGTTAGACAATAAATCAGAAATTTTTTTCTGATGAACCGATCGAGTTGCGGTTTTCGGCATTGTCTTCGGAAAAATATCAGGAAAAAAAGTCTATGTATTACACTTTGGGGCTGGATCGAAACTTCATTGCGGGTGCATAAAGTGCATCTTGGAGTGCATAAATTTTTCCGAATTTTTAAACAATGGTAAAAATTCACTAAAGTTGTAGAAATTTGGTTTTCGGGGTCGGAGATTCCGAATCTGATCCTGAAAAATATGCTCAACGGCCCTGGAGCCCCCCCAGAGGGGCAAGGGGGGCCTTCTGTAAAACATCGAATAACTGAGTAATTGCCTTCTAAATTTCCACTCGGGGGTTTTTGGGGTCGGAGATTTCGATTCTGACACTGAAAAGTATGTCCGACGCCCCTGGGGCCCCTAAGGGGGCAAGGGGGGCTTCTGTAAAACATCGAATAGCTGAGTAATTGCCTTCTGAATTTCCACTCGGGGTTTTTGGGGTCGGGGATTCCGATTCTGACACTGAAAAGTATGCCCGACGCCCGTGGGGTGGGCACATCAGATTTTTGCAATAAAACTGCACCACCTACTTACCAACCATGATCTTTTAGGCTTACAATTATACGTAAATTTACAGAGATTACACAAGAAGGGTAAGAAAATCTAACAGGAAATTAATGAGTCGAAAAGAATCCCCTTTATTCTGAGAACCAATTTTCTTTTTATTTGCAAGGCAATTAGTGAGACAACTACTGTCATATGTTTATCTAACACTTTCACTATCAATCACAATTTTCATCATCAGTACTGTCATCACTGTCTCCATCACTATCATCTATTACATTTCCGTCTATTTCAGGATTGGAACAGTTGGTTCCAAAACAATTTGTACATGCAATTGTGCATGTAATTCCATGCTTCCTGCAACCACAAGATCTGCATTGTCGATAATCGGATTTTGTCGCCTAATTGTTATGCATTATCCGCAGTCGCACGGGCCCAAGAGATTCTTTTGAAAATCCTTGATCCATGAAATATTCTTCGGTTTTAAGGAATATCTCTTTGATTTAACCAAAGTGTGTTTTGGGAACGGATTGTCCAGGATTTCTCCAATTCTACGACTCTCAGTGATAGACAAGCTAAGATTAATGGATATTTTCCAGTGTCAGATTCGGAGTCCTCGACCCCGAAAACCCTCGAGTAGAAATTTAGAAGTCAATTACTCAGCTATTCGATGTTTTACAGAAGGCCTCCTCTTGCCCCCCCCCTGCGAAGGGGGGAGAGGGGCGTCGGACATATGTTTCAGTGTCAGAATCGAAATCCCCGACACCATAAAGCCCCGAGTGGGGTTTTAGAAGGCTCAGCTATTCGATGTTTTACAGAAGGCCTCCCGCTTGCCCCCCCTGGGGGGCCCAGGGCTGTCGGGCACATTTTTCAGGGTCAGATTCGGAATTTCCGACCCCGAAAACCCGTGCACACAAATTTCTACAACTTTTAGTAAATTTTTATCATTTTTAGAAAATTCGGAAAAATTGATGCACTCCTAGATGCATTTTATGCACCCGCAATGCAGTTTCGATCCAGTCCCAGAGTAGATAGACTTTTTTCCTGATATTTTTCCGAAGACAATGCCGAAAACCGCAACTCGATCGGTTCATCAGAAAAAAATTTCCGTATTCTGGGTGATTTTGGTCTAACTAGCTTGGACTATTAATAATAAGACCAATGTTTGATGTACTGCTCAAAATTTTATGAGCAGCAGTGTCGTAGAGACGGGGTTTTTTAAAAATATTTTCTACGCCACTGCTAATTTTGTCAAACGGGCACTATTTTCGTGTAATGTTCAATTATCTATCGAATTGGTTTCTTGCAAAATTTTGATTAAAGCAGCCATTTATAAGAAAAACACGTTTTTAGAAAATTGTGAATCCATTTTATTTTCATTCATTTTAGTTTCGCATAGTGGGCTTGTGATATTCAAAATAAAATTAAATATCTTCTGTCACTAATGTCAATAATAAGTGTACAAGTGAATTAAGTAACTATAAAGTAAAAACTTCTTTTTGTCATTTTTACGGTTATTTAAATTACTTCAACTACTTCACTATTTTCAATAACAGTATGAATTACGAATATTCATTTGAAGACATGACATATATGCATCTATGTTTTGGGTAGCGAATTTTCTTTCCGTAATGCAGTTAGAAGAAATGTTTCCTGCACAAAGAACACCAAGTCGGCAAATGTTTGATAATATCGATAGAAGATTAAGAGAAACTGGTAAATTAAAAGCAACAAAAATTAATTCTGGATGACGGAGTAATGCTAGAACTCCAGAATCTGAGGAAATGGTCCTGACAGCAATAGAAAATAATAATATGTTAAGTACCCGAAAAATTTCTAGAAATTTAAACATATCACAGTCATCTGTTTGGAGAACACTTCGCGAACAACAATTGCACCCTTATCACTTTCAACGTATTCAACATTTACTACCTCAAGATTACCCACCAAGACTAAAGTGGTTACGATGGCTGCTTGGCAGGCTTCCAGAGAATCCCAATTTTTCCGCGAATATCTGATTCACAGGTGAATCATCATTTACGAGATGAGGAATAATTAACTTCCACAATAATGATTTATGGAGCGACGAAAATCCTCACGTCATTCGAATAACAATTTTCAGCATGAGTTTTCAATTAACGTTCATCATTATTGGCGACACGCTCATTGGTTCTTTTAGGCTACCAAATAGACTAGATCTCCAGCTCTTACCTTATTTTTTTAATGAATGATTTAAACAACTTGTTAGATAAAGTACCACTGGATGTGCGGAGGAGCCTTTAGTTCCATCATGACGGTGCTCCGGTACATTTCGCTCGACAAGTAAGAGATTATTTAAATATGACATACCCTAGACGGTGGATTGGACGTGGTGGTCCAATTGCTACGATCTCAGGGAGGCAGAAACACGTACTTATCTCAGTTTTATTAATATATTCCTGGTTACATACATTACACTTAAAATACAACTTTATCAATACAGTGGGTAATTTTTCTTGACGTATAAACTCCAGTTTATCGTGCGTACATCGTACAAACTCCATCCAAGTCCCACTGCACACTGCCCCGCACTTCAGTGCACTCTCCCACACTTAGCCCCCACCACCATGATTGACACTCATGCGCGTCACATCACCCCTCTTTTAAGTTTACAATTATTTTTTTTTTTGTTTAAGAAGAAACATCAGTTTATTAAAAAAAAAAATTGAAACTTAAAATATTCCATTTTATATAGGTAAATATTAAACTGAAAATCTACTGCAATCAGGTAAGATTGTACAATTAAAAAAAGCTAATAAAAATTCTGAAAATACATAATATATTAATATTAAAACGAATACTTATTCATTATATCTCTTAATATTATAGGTACACAACTTTTTGCCTTTGTGACAACTACATTTATCAGACTTGCAACCACTTTTACAATCACATCTACTATAACCTTGCCCTCCCCATTTAGATGACATTCTACAACACTCTCTCAGCGAAATCTCTGTCTCTGGAACATCTTCAGGCGAAATAAATATTTCCTTGCAGACTGTAAATTGGTTTCTTGAATATAGTTGATTTAAAACACCTTGTTTTGTTCCCAGTTTATAAAGGTTAGAGGCTGTTACTTCAATAACGGTGGCAAGCATATTTCTTCCATCGCTACGAGCGCGATCAACATCGGGAACTCGGACTCTTACAATGTCACCAATTGCAGCCATGGGATATTTAGCGTTTGATACATCCAACATTTTATTTGCTTGTTTCTGCAAATTACTTAAAGCCAGTTTCCTAACTGCCATAACATTTTCTTTTTTGCGCTCCAGGTTTTCGTTTTCGTTTGTGGGTATTGGGTTTGAATCTGTATCTGAAGTTTTTACAGACTCCTCATCTACGGTAAAAGTTGGCGAAAATTGACTTGAGCCAGCTGAAAATAAATTCATACCATCATTTTTAGCGGACTCTACTTGATCATTTTTGGCGGACTCTTCTTGATCATTCTCGGTGAAATCCACTAGATTCTTTTCGGTAATAGTGCTCTCAGTAGATAATAGTTTCTCCAAGTCTTCTTCTGATTTAATATCAAGCAGAGCCTCATGTGGTATAGAAGAACTTTTAAGTCCTACTTTCAACTTCGTTCCAAACATGGCTTCATATGGAGTACAGTTAATGCCTGTGTGATATGCTCTATTTTTCATTAATTGTACAAAACGTAATCCTTCCGACCATTTCTTATTGTTGTTATCCTCCAACCACATACTCAGCATATTTTCTATGTCCTGGTTTGCTCTCTCTACTGACCCTTGGCTTTGAGATTGTCTCGGTTTACCATGTACAATTTTCAATTCGGGCCACATTTCACAAGCTTCCTGAACAATTTTATTAGCAAACTCTCTGCCATTATCGCTTTGAAGAATGCTTGGTGCACCGAATATTGTAAAAATATCAAGTAGTACATATGCTACTTCTTCAGCAGTTTTGGTCTTGAGCGGACGGAGTTGCACAAATTTTGTGAGATGATCTTGGTATACAAGTATAAATTTATAGTGATTATTTCCTTGTGACTGCATGTCAATTAGGTCTACTTGACATCTTGCAGTCATTTCGCCGCTAAGAATAGGTTTAACAACTAATCCTTTTTTTGGAACGCTGCGTTCCTTTTCGCAGCTCTCACATAGGTTTAAATAAATCATTTCCCTCGTAATATTTTTATAGCAAAAATTTAGCTCTTTCTCCATCCGGTTTCTACCACCATGCCCTACACTCAGGTAGGTATCATGCAAAATCTGAAATATCTCGTTGTTTTTCACGTAGTACCTAATCATATTGTCTTTGACTGGAACAATCAATTTCTCTGTTTCTCCAACAGCCATGACGTCGAATCTTCGCAAACGCTGATAATCTTCGGGTTTTTTATGCGACTTCCTTGATTTTGCAGATTTAACTCTTTCAATCATCTCAGTATAGCTTTCGTTGGTGAAAAACTGAGTATTTTGTCCTTTAAGCGACATTAATTCACTCAATCTTTCGTCAAATTGACGATTCATGTCGTTTAATTTCGAAATATCCATGATTAATTACTAAAACACACACTAACTCCGTCCGTATTCGCTTACAATGCAAAACTAAGCAAAAACAATAGCGTTTGGAGTCCGCCGCACGAGCCGCACGCTGAATGGCTCTCTCTGATTGGTCAAAGCGTGTCACGCGTGCTTTCCTCCCCGCACCGTGTCAAATTTAGCTTTATTATCAAATTGCCCAATTGTCACGTAGCAATATAATAATGACCATGCAATGTGATAAATAATGAAGTTTAGATAGTAATTAATCACTTAGACCGATAGAGCTAGACATTATTCATAATGCTCGCACATTATTAATAATGCCCGCATTAATCACTTGGTCCATAACATATATATTCTGTCTGTTAATGACGTTACCCTGATCATCGGATATCTCATAAGCATTGGGTCCGACTTGTCTTGCAATAGTAAATGGGCCCTCATACAACAAAAATAATTTCTTTATTTTAGCATCTTCCGCATACGACAAGGGATGAGTTTTAACCCAAACAAGATCCCCTTCCTTAAATTTCGTAACTAATGATTTTTTTCATGCCGTAGACGACGTTATTCTGCTTTACTCATTAACTTCTCACGAGCTAAAAATCTAACATTTTCTGGACAGCCTTTAAAAGGAATTTTTAAATTTTCTAACAAAGGTTCGCGACGACTACGTTTAAAATGAACTAATAAAGGTGTAAAACCATTTCATGAATTACATCATTTAACCATTCTTGTACTTGAGAAATGACATGAGCCCATTTCCCATGACTTTCATAACATAAATATTGCAACAATCTACCAATTTCGCGATTTATGCGTTCGGTAGGATTCGCTTGCGGATAATAACACGATGTATGAGTAACTCTAATTCCTTCCTCGGTTAACAGTTGTTTCCATTTTTTTGAAAATTGACTTCCATTATCAGACAAAATTGTTTTAGGTTTTCCTATTTTAATAAAGTAATCATCTTTTAGTTTTCTAAAAATGGCTCGAGTAGTCGCTCTACGTAACGGATAAAGCGTCACTAATTTAGAAAATACGTCAATTATTTACTAATAATTGTGTTACACTGGCCTTCGATCGGGGTAGCGGTCCCATCAAATCTAAACATGCAAGCTCGTTAGGTTCTTGTGCTATAACACTGTGCAATTCGCCATGTAATCTATTTGAAACCTTAGCCTGTTGACATATTTTACACTATAGCCCTTATTTTAGTTCGCAATTTTTGACAATGAAAATATTTACGCAACGCTAAATATACCTTATTAGCCCCGAAATGTCCAAGATCCTGGTGTTCTTGTTGCACTAAACCGACTACTTGATCTTTGGGTAAACATATTCTTAATCAGCCATCTTGCTCACCACGCCTACATAAAATATCATCCTTGATTAAATACCATTTATGAATGTTTTCTGGAATATCTCTATTATTTTCTAATACCTTTATAATTTTTGAACAAAAAGCATCAACTCTTTGACTTGCTGATGATTGATTTCTTTCTTTCTTTCTTTTGATTGATTTCTTGCTGATTTGATTTCTTGCTGATTTGATTTCTTTAAATTGTTCAATACAATTTGAAATAACTCACTATGTTTTAGGGAAAATATTTCAATGACATTCGAATGATTTGGTTCATATTGCCGAGGAGCCAGTTGGATAACGCGACAGGCAATCAGCCACTATATTCTCTTTACCCTGACAGTAAACGACGTCGAATGAATAACGTCCATCTTGACAATCGCGAATTTAATAATTTGCACTTCATTAAAAATGGCAATGCTTTGTGATCAGTTATGACAGTCAATGGTTGCCCTAAGATAAAGACGCGCCATTGTGTTAAGACATATACAATAGCTAATGCCTCTAGCTCTGAAATACAGTAATTTACTTCACCGCCTTTCAAAGTTCGATTCGTAAATGCTATAACATCTCGATCATTAAAAGATTCATCAATTTGAAACAAACACGCGCCAATACCATACCCCGAACTATCCGATTGGATATAGAACCGCTTACCACATACAGGATGTTTAAAAAACGTTACTCGTAGAGATGCCTCTTTAACGGCCTCAAACGCTTCTTCTTCTACGTCTATCCATTTCCAATGAACATCTTTACATAACAATTTGATTAATCGAGTAAACAAATGAACATACTTTTCAACAAACCTTCGGTCATAGTTGCACGCACCCAAAAAGGATTTTAAATGTTTTACATTTAGTGGTTTTGGAAATTTTTGTATAGATTGTATACGCGATGGGTCTACAAACACGCCGGATGGAGTCAAAATGTGACCAAGGAACTTGACTTGATCCCGCGCAAAAGAACATTTTTTTAATTTAATCGTAACACCAGCATCTTTTAAACGTTGAAAAATTATCCCTAAATGTTCAATATGATAAGTTGCTGATGTTGACCATACTAAAATGTCATCTACATATGGGGTTGCAAATGACAATGGTCCTAATATTCGATTTAAAGCCGTTATAAAACTTTCTACAGAAGTACACAGGCCGAACGGAAGAACTTTAAATTGATATGTGCGACCTTCGAATTGGAATCCGGTATATTTTCTACAATCTGGGTGAATTGGCTACGGTCCCGAACGCTACTAATTAGGCCACGCTCCCAGTTGAAGAATGTTTCACATCTAGTGGATTTAGCTGTCAGGTAAAACTTCAAAATCGATTATCTCGGCAATTAATGAACATTGCGTCGAACTACTTCGGAAAATTCTTATTCAAGGTCAAAACTACACGTATCATAAATATCAAAAATTACGAAAATCCGACTACCTTACCTTCTCCTTGTAAGTCCGTTATTTAATATACCACGCCGAACATGTTGATCAAAATGTCTAATAAGCAAACCGACCAATTCACTGTCACTCAATGGCTTAGTTAAATAATTGATTTCTTTAACCATTTTCAAAAAATATTCGCTTCATGACCCAGTTTCATAATTGCCATATTGAATTCACCTAACTGCTGCCCTTTCCTCATTGATTCCCCAGTATCTATCTAAAAATGCTTTTGAAAAATCCACGATTGCAAAGCCACGTAATGCATTCGTCGCCAGATCTATTCTTTTAGCAAGTGGGATGTGGGGTCCCATCATAAAAAATACCAATTAATTTTCGCATAAAATCAACAGGATGAATCGGTTCTTCAGGTGTAAAGTAAATATTATTACCCCCCAAATCCTTAAATAGAGATATATACCCCCGATCATGAACAATTTTTTCTTCATTATTATTTTTAGAACACGGTTTTTTTGGGAACTTACATCTTCAGAATTTTTATTATTTATATTTATTACTAAATTACTTATTGCTTGCCAACATATTTTGTGATAAAATTTCAACATTTTGTTCTATATTATTAACTCTCGACATTTCTATTTCTACGTCACTATTTTGTTTATTTTTCTTATTTTTCCCTGCCATTTTATCTCTACGTCTTTTTTTTTAATAAAATGTTTCCTTTTTACATAAGAATGAAAATGTCTCACAAAAGTTATCTACAACGTAAACATTTAGCTCCGAAACCCGAATACCTGTTGTTGTCGTCGGCGTTCCGTCCAAGTCAACCAGAGAATCGGACCGGCAGACAAGTTGTTCAGCGGATGTTATTAAGAAATGAATTTATGCACCTACTCACAATTTGTTACTCAGGATGGATGGATTGCAGATATCTAAAAGTCACCTCTTTTCTCCGTCGTGGACTCTTAACCAGGAAATATACCAACAGTCGTGGATCAAGCCGTAAGTTGGGCGTCAACTGCTACGATCTCAGGGAGGCAGAAACACGTACTTATCTCAGTTTTATTAATATATTCCTGGTTACATACATTACACTTAAAATACAACTTTATCAATACAGTGGGTAATTTTTCTTGACGTATAAACTCCAGTTTATCGTGCGTACATCGTACAACCTCCATCCAAGTCCCACTGCACACTGCCCCGCACTTCAGTGCACTCTCCCACACTTAGTCCCCATTGGATTTCCACACTTGGGGTCAAGGAGCTAATTTACGCAACTCCAATAAATTCGATTGATGAATTATGGCAACAAGCCTTTCAAACAATTAATACGCCCGAGATTTTTTAAAGAATAAGAAGATCCTTAGCTCGAAGGGTAGAAACGTGTGGCGAATCACAAGGTGGTCACTTCCACCACTACTCTGATTTTTACATTATTTCCAGTTATACAATTTTTATCATTACGTTTTCAACCTTAAATTTGTTGTCTATTGTTTACATTATTTCTGAGGATATTTCATTCTAACAAAATTAGTTGAAAACTAAATTACTCAACGACTGTAGCTTTAACCAAAATTTTGCAAGAGACCAATTTGATAGACAATTGTACACTTTACACGAAAATAGTGCCCATTTGCCAAATTAGCAGTCTCTACGACACTGCTACTCATAAAATTTTGAGCAGTACATCAAACATTGCTCTTAAGATGCTAACTACGCATAGCAAATTTGAAATAGAAATGTTCAGGCATTTTGGAATTATTGCAGACAATGTTTAATTTTACAGAAACTTTGACGCCCTGTATTTCGTTAAGGAGGCATTTGTGACCCTATGTTTATTAAGACTTTTCGTCTTAATTTTTCATGTATTATCTACCATAGAAGTCTGTCAGCGATTTTTTGAATCACCCTGTATAAAAGTTGCTAAAAGACAAAAATGGGCAATTTACCCATAACTATTATGATCCTGGTATGTTTAAAAAAATTGTTCATAGTTATAATCGTTCGATTGATAAACCATCATTCTGTATCTTGTACTTGCAATCCTACTGTACCTGCTATCCGAAAGAGAGTATGTCAGTAGTGACCTGTTATGTGGGTCACTTTATTAATTAATTATACAAATAATACAAAAGGTTTTAGAGTCTTCAAGGGATTCGTTTGTATAAAAATTCTAATACGTTTCCCGACCCCAATTTTAAAATCGACACCGAGTTATAGAAGTTGTTTCTGAAAGCAAGT